CACTGTCTATGTAACTTTCTATTCAACTTGGGTTTGGGGGATCAAACTCTGCTTGTCAGACTTGTGTCACAAATGCATTAAACCATTGAGCCATCTTGTGGCCTTCCACATTAATTTTTAAGACGGGGATGCTTCAGCGAACCTGAAGCTGACCATTTTGGCAAGACTGGCTGGCCAGTGAGCTCCAGGGATCTTTCTGTCTCTGCCCTTCCCAGTGCTGGCTTTACAGGTATGCTGGTGTGCTTGGCTTGTACGTTGATGCTGAGCACCTGCACTTAGGTCCCTTTGCTTGTGCAGCAAATACTTTGCCTGCTGAGCCACCTCTACAGCCACCATAATGAAAAGTTATCATTTTATTTATGCTGCCACATTCCCAGATGGGCATGTCATTTATGAAGAGCACAGACTGGAGACTGGATGTCCAAGAAAGGATGTAATGGTCCCCAGAGGATGAACAAAGACCACTCCCTTGACAGTGGGTTGGGAAGGAGGTAGTACTGTAGTTTCCATTTCTTAATGTTTATTAATTTTAAGTCACTGTTGTTGGGCGGTGGTGGCGCATGCCTTTAATCCCAGCACTTGGGAGACAGAGCCAGGTGGATCTCTGTGAGTTCGAGGCCAGTCTGGGCTACAGAGTGAGTTCCAGGAAAGGCTCCAAAGCTACACAGAGAAACCCTGTCTAAAAAACAAAACCAAAACCAAAAAAAGACTTATTTTATATGTGCATTTCTGTGGTGGGTATGTGCATGTGAGTGCAGGAGCCCACAGGGATCAGAAGAGGGCATTGGATTCCCCAGAACTAGAGTTACAGGTGATTGTAAGCTGCTGGGAACCAAACTCAGGTCCTATGCAAGAGCAGCAAGCCCTCAGAACTGATGAGCTATCTGTCCCATCCCTAAATCATTTATTTAAACTCTTAGATAAATTCAGAAGAATGAGGACAATTCAAGGAATTAGGAGCACAGAAAAAGATAGAATGTAAACCCTTCATAGTAAATGAAAAGTCTCCTAGCTTTAACCTACAATAAATCTAAGAACTGTGCCATAAATTGGGAACATTTAGTAGGGAGGCATTCACTTATGCTTCCAAACTAGCCATTTTTCGATGTTGTAAAGAGCTAGTTTCGTCAATTAGTTACAGTGAGTCCTTGTCACTTTAAGAAAAGACAGGATAAAGAAAAACAAGGAAAAATGAAAGCAAGAAAGAGGAAGAGTTTGGTCCCAAAGTCACATTTTCTTAGAATTGCTGAAATTATTGGCCATTTAAAAAATAAATATAATTTTCTAGCTCTCAAGGCGAACCTTCCACTTCTGTGCTTGGCGACAGATGAGTCTTCTACTGTCTGAGCTACTGAGAGAGCAGCGGGCAGCTAAGAGTTTTGGACACACTCCAGTGCACTGGCTCGCAGCCCCCACACCACTTCTCTGGTAGTTAGATGTGGCTGCCTCTTTAGCTAGCCTCGTTTCGCATTATTAGTTTTTATGTGGTTAAAGAAATAGACATCTAAGAACTTGGACTGCACTGCCATAGGATATTATCTGACATATTAGAAGAATTTAAAATTTAAGCCAACCAGATCTGACTTTAAATCCTTGTTCCTTTTGGTTAAATAGAGAACCTTAAGGAACATATTGAATTTACATGAGTCTCTTGCAAGATTAATTAATGTGTGCTCATGAATATGAAGGTGACACATGTGTGCACATGCATGTGGAGGGCAGACGTCAACATCCAGCATTGTTCTTTAGGATTATCCACCTCCTGAGACAGGGTTTCTCAGGGGACTCAGTCTCCAAGTAGGCTTGTCCAACTGGACATCAAGCAGGTCTTTTAATGTGGGTTCTAGAGCTTGAACTAGGTCCTCGCGCCTGCAAGGCAAACATTTTACAGACTGAGACAGCTCCCTAGCTTTCCTTTGGTACTTAAAAAAATGGAGAGACTAGTGTTTGTTGTTGCATGCATGGTATGAAAATCGAATGAGATGATTCATGTCATAAGTCAACAATGAGAGAAAGTGCCTGTTAGCAAATGTTATCTCCTTTCTCTAATGATTTTGCTACTCACTGGATACTTCTGAACTTTATAATAGTTGTACTACTCAGAACATACCCTGCTTCTTGCCTCCTTCTTGTCTCCAAGAAAACTACCCATAGGTTGTTCATTTCTCAAAAGCTGCTATGGTTAGAGTTATGGATTCTGCAGCCTAGATTGCACCCAAAGGCAGCTTTTATAGCTTGGACTTTTCAGGTGAACTAAACCCCCCACCCATTATGTGTATCAGGACTAGCTAGTGATTAAGACCCATCACACATTCTGTGTTGAGGATGAAGGAGACATCTGGACTGGGAACAAAAGTAGGGATACCGGGGTAGTGTAATAAGCAGAAGCAGAGCAAGTACACAGGGGGTAGGTTCCTCACTGCCTGTGGGTGTGCAGCCAGCCTTACCGATCTTAGCTCAGCTCTCAGGCTGGAGATGAAGTAATCACTCCTTCCACAATAGCTCAGCACTCTTTACAGTGAAATAAGGCAGAGTCTTAATACAACAGTTGTTTAACATTCCTGGATAAAGCGGTGCCACCCTCTGTGCGGTAACCTCGCTGAGACTGGCCAACATTTGGATACAAGTTCTCCTTAGCTGCACACTTGGAATTCTGCGATCTAGCAGTAATCTAATAAATCCTGTGCCTTTGAACACAAAATGACACTAGTCTCTCTGTGTATCTCAGGCTAGTTTGTAATTCACTATGTATCAAGGCTGTCCTTGAACCCACAACCCTCCCTCAGCTTCCCGAATACTCGAATTACAGGCATGTGTCACAACACTCAGCTTCAGGGTTCAGCCCACTGTCCTAGTGCCATGAACTCTCCTCATTGATCAAAGAAAGAGGAGTCTCAGTCAGGGACCCCAGGAGCTCAGAGAGCATCTACATTGCCTGGGGTTTAATATGTGAGTCAAGAGACATGGAGGAGAACTCCTTTCCACCTTCTCTGTTTTAGCTTTTTATGTCTGTGATCTTATTTTACATAACCTGTAAGTGGTCAACACTGTAGAATAAGTGAATAAAAGGATTAATTTCTGTGATGGCTGCATCTTCTCTTAAGAATTTGCTCAGCTTTGCATGAATTATTTCATTTCATCCCCACCACAGCTCCCGCGAGGCCCCTTTGCATACCTGATCTTATAATGTGGAACAATTTAAAAACTCTGGGAATAAATCTTAGGCCCAACTGCAACATATAGACATGCAGACAATCACAGAGTATGCACACAGATATAAAAGCATACACAGACACAGTCAGATAGACACACAGACAGATACACACATACATACACAAAGACACAGACACAGACACACACACACACACACACACACACACACACACAACAACAACAACAACAACTGCTTTGTCTTACTGTTTTTTTCTTTTCTGAGACTCGGGCTGTATTACTTTTCTCATTGCTTTGACCAAATTACTTGACAGAAGCAACTTAAAGGAAAGAAGAGCTTACATTGGCTTATGGTTTGAGGAGATACCATCACGGAGGAGCCTAAGGAGGCTTATTGTATTGCACAAATAAGTCAGGAGGCAGAGCAGACAGGAAGTGAGGCCTGTACCCAGTGACCTACTTTCTCTAGTAAGGCGCCACCTCCTAAAAGTTTCACAGCCTTTCCAAACAGTGCCACCAGCTGGGACTAAGTGTTAAAGCCCATGAGCCTGTGGAAGGTGTTCACATTCGCACCACAGCACAAGCTAAAAGCAAAGCAGCCAAGCTGGTGAACACTTGCATCCTGCTCCTGGAGTTCTGCTGTTTCTCAGTGTGTCTTCCTGATTTTGTCACAAGTAGTTCCTCAAGAGAACTCTCCTGATGCACAAGGGGACCCCACTTAAAGACCTAGAGTGTTCCACCAGGTTCTCACCACAAGGCTAACAGGACAGGATTAAAACCCGCATGCTTCTTCCTTCTGCTCTGGTTGTCTCCCACAAGCCTGGAAGTTTACAATTAACGCAGAAGTCCAGTAGTTCCAATGGATAAACACCACCTTTCCAAAGCTTGGGAGACTTCTCACTGGCTCCTTCCTATGGTACATAAAATTTCACACCTTCCAGTGTTTCCATGGCTACGTGACCTGTAACCAATTGTTTCTAGGTGGGGTGGCATGTCTGGCTCCCTAACAGCACGTAGGCTCTATGGGAAGTAGCAAGTGTAGTTTGCTTAGGGCTTGCCTCCCAGAATTACTTCCTGCCAGGCCCTGCAACAGAGGGTGTCCTAGGTTCTGCAGACACACTCCAGGTGACCTGGGGGTTGACTGACCCTTTCATTTTTTATTTATTTTTTGGTGTGTGTGTGTGTGTGTGTGTGTGTGTGTGTGTGTGTGTGTGTGTGTTACAGTATGAGTATGGCTAGTGACATTTCAGAGGACAACCTTGAGTGTCAGTCCTTGCTTTTCACCTTGTTTGAGACAAGGTCTCTTGTTTGCCACAGCATATATAGATACATCAGGCTGATTGACCAGTGAGCGTCTGGGGATTCTGTTGTCTCCAGCTCTCATCACCCCAAAAGAGTGCTGGAATTATAGATGTGTACTACCACATTCAGTGTTTTTACATGAGTTCTGGGGATCTGAACTCAGGTTCTCACACACCAGGGGTGCCTAAGGTGTGTGCTGGGGGCCTCTTAAACCTCATTATGTTAGTAGGGTCTTTGTGTGAGCTACTTTAACACTGCAGTGAAAACAAGATACAGATGTGTGCTGTGCTAGGTCCCACATGAAGTCATGCTAAAATATTGCTTATTATCAGATATGCTGTGACACACACACACACACACACACACTTGTTCATATTAAGTTTCCTCATTGTTTTCATTTTACTCAATAAAATCGCCATTGCCAAAATGAATGCAATCAGACAAGAGTTGCAACCATGGGACCTGTGTTCATCAGCCTGTAGACAAGGAGGAGGTTGCAGGTCTCTCTCTTGAGACTGTTCTCTTACCACTAAGGAGAGGCCTGTTTTGCCGGTAGGAGGCAGGCAGCTGACCGATGCCCTCCATCCTGTGGCTCATGACCCGTGCAAGGTGGCCCGTGTGGTGCAGGCTTCCCACAATGATGCTGTGGAGGTACACAGGCTCGATGAAGTGACAGAGGAGAGCACCTTGTAGTCCCAGCACATTCCAGCTAGAAGGAAAAGCAAGGGTGAAGTCAGTGGGATTTCTGCATCTGCTTGGGATGCAGCGCTGGCAGCTCATAGTCCATTCAGGGAGCTGGACCTGCAAGTGATGTTGGTGTCATTCTGTCCTTCAGCTGCCTGCTCCTTCCCTTTTTCCAGCTTGGGGAGGGATGGCCTGGGAACTTGTCAAAGGCAAGTCATCAGGGTGGCCACTGATGATTCTGCTGGATCTAAGAACCAGTACTGAGCTCTGATAGTCTCTGCATATTCATTAAACGCAACTCCCTTTTCTACGAGCTGTTAGAGAGACAAGGCAGTGCTGTTCTCTCAGAGACTTAACATTAGATTGTTTAAAAGAAGATGCTTGGTTCCCAAAGTGAATCTGAAGTTTTTTTCTTATACCCTATCTGGGAAAGTTTCAGAAACTGAATTTGCTGATTTCCGTTTGGGGAGAAGCATTGTCTTCCATTCCGTTTGTCCTTAGCAGTCAGAATGACCTACTGTGCTGAAATTAAAGGGCATAAATAAGTGACCTTGTTTTGGTCTGGGGATGGTTTTTTTATTTTAAAAAGCCTAGATCAGAGATGATTGACAATGACCCTTTCTTTGAAATAAATAGAGCTCTGGGTGAATGTTCTTACTTCTTCAAGCAGAGGTGATAGAAGTACTGTGAAAAACATTTTTTTTTTTTCATCCCCCGACCTAAATTCAGAGTAGAAAGTTCTGTGTATCTACCACTTCAAGCAATGCTTTGTGGCTTCCACTCTAATGTGTTTAAAATGCAACCACTTATTGGAGGCAGGCATTATGTAGCTAATTTCTTACATCATTGTTCTTTTTCATTAATTAACATTTTTCCACTGTTGGAGCAATTATTGTGGGACCTCCATGCTGTACATCTCTTTTGATGATTAATAAGGAGTCATTATATCTCTCTTCCCGAAGCAGTCAATTAACACAGAATTCTTTCCATTAATTACCGAATGTGTCTCTACCTGGAGAGCAATCTGCTCCAAGAACCGGTGACACCAATTGCTTTAAAAAGTTCTCTTTAAATTTTATTCCGAAAACACAAGCAATTTAGCTGGCGATATTAATCTGCCTCAGAAGCATCATGGTGACTGAGAAACATCTTTTAATCTCATGCAAGAAAAGGCAGCCATCTGGCTGGCAAGGATTTCAGGGAACCACTCTCCCAGTCTCCCTCCGTAAATGCAGGTCATTAAAGTAATGTGTTCATCTACATAAAACTCAAATGGAATATAAAAGGTAATATTTATATACAAACAATTTAGTCCTACGATTTAAACAGTCATTGGTTTTTATGAAACATTTACTTTAGACTATCAGATTTGCATAACTTCATTTAAAAATACTGTGGTCATTTTCTAGAAGTCACACTGGTCTTCTCAGCAAAGAAAGGGCTGTCTTTGTGCACTGTATCCCAGTGTAAATATCAGAATGGGTTGAGACAAAGGGCATGTCTGGAAGAAGCACATGTCCTCATTCCTGATGTCTTTTGGCTGTAACGTTTCTGCTTCGTTCTGAATTTTTCACTACAATATGACACACCCACTGTGGCTCTTCTAAGGCCCCTCACTTTCCACTGATGAGATACAGATTGGCTACAAAGCTCAGGGGAGGAGCCCTGTGATACTTGACTCTTCCTGAAAGGAAGAGTGTTGGTAGTTTTGATTTGTGTTTGAGGAATTAAGCTCATTCCCTTACGTCTTCTCTTTCGAAATTTTATTATTTATTTATTTGTATTATTATTTTTTTCACACAATATATTTGGTCATGCTTTTTTTTTTCCTCTCCCAACTCCTCCCAGATCCTTTCCATTTCCATATCCACTCAACCTCATGTTCTCTCTCTCAAATATAAGACAGAAAAACCAAAAAAGCTAAAATCAAAACAAACAAACAAAAAATAAGATAAAGAATTGAGAAGCTAAGAAGAAGTATAACAAGATGGAAGAGTGGGTAAAGGTGAATGCTGCCAAGCCTGGGGACCTGAGTTGAATCCCTGGAACCCAATGTTTGGAAGGAAAGTTGTCCTCTGACCTCCATATGGCACGTGCTTGACCCCCCCTCCCTTGCCAAGTCAATTAAATAAGAAATATGTAGGAAATATTTTTTTTTAAAGGCAAACGCCAAGAACGGTTGTGCACTTTTATAGTTTAGTCCCAGTACTTGAGAAATGGAGGCAGGAGAATTGTGAGTTGGAGGCCAGCCTAGGCAAGCCTCTGCTTGATACCAAATAGCACCTAAACAAACAAACAAACAAATACTGAGGAGGAATAAAACAGAATACCATGTAGTATTTAGACATACTCTTTTTGGATTTGGAGGGTGGTAGGCAAATATGCCAGGGAAAGGTTTGTGACAAAGGATGCTCAGAAAGCCCGCCAAGAGGTAACAATCTAAAGCAAAGGGCTTTGGGTTACAGATAGCACAAGTGGACCTTACAACCTCAGATTGTTGGTAAAATTTAGAAATTTCTTATCAATTAAAAGCAGAATAATACATAAAATCTCCCTTGATAACAAGGCATCTTCTTCAAATAAGCTAAGCCTCAGACAATAAAATGAGAATTTCCATGAAGGGATATGGTAATTCTTGAGACTATCCAAGTATTGGCTTTGAACAAAACTTGTGGAACATATTTTGAGTGTTCTGATTCCACTGGATTGTCTAAAGACAAATAACTTCTATATCTGATCCCCCCTAATAACCTTTACAATAAAAAGAAAAAATCAACCTCCTCTTTGCCTGGCTATAGGAGTTTAAACAAATTCAGCTATCACGATCAATAAAACCAAATGTCTCTCTGAATATGAACTGGAGAATCCTCCGCATTCAGGATTGAATGGAAAAATACCTCTCCTTTTGTTCAAATAGCTGATATGCCTGTAATGTTGACAGAGACAGAAATCCTATGCCTAGCTTTCAATATAGATAATCCCTAGATAAATATATTTTTGTCTGTTTGTCAATCACAGAAATACCACTGATAAGTGGAGGAGAGATTTTAGAAAAGGTTGCCTTTCTTCAGCCAAGGGATGTCATCTCCTTGCTGAATTTGAACTGTGACCTCCAAGCTAGGAAGAGAATGATAAGTCTCACTGTGTATGAGGCTCTCCTCACAGGTATGTGTCTTGAAATTTAGACAGAGAACATCCATTGGTGATGTATATTTGGACATTTTCTCTTTCTTCCTATTATTTATAGCATCTTGATGTAGTCCTGGAAAAAGACAATTCTTTGCATTTGTAAATGTGCAGCATGAGATAGTTCCATAGATACACACTTTCACTTTCTTCTGTCAGCCTGTTTTCTGAACAAAACACCACATCAATTGCAAAAGTTTCCCATGTTCTGTCTGAAGCCAGTGAAGGTCACACTGAGAGAATCAAGTAGTCACAACCTGCAGGTGAGACTCAGGGACTGTGGTGGAACCATGGTCTTCAACTTAGCCTCTATACTGGACCAACTAGAAGCTTTAAGAACATTTTCTGCCTTGGTTCTTGTTCTAGCTGGCTTTCTATTGCTGTGATAAAAACCATGACTAAAAGCAACTTGGGGAAGAAAGCTTTGACTTCATCTTACAACTCAAAGTCATATTACATCTCTGAGGGAGCCCAGGGTAGGCACTCCAGGCAGGAATACAAATTCCTGTCTGGAGGCAGGAGCTGAAGCTGAGAAGGTAGAGGATGCTGCTTACTGGCTTGCTCTTCATGGCTGGCTGAGTTACTTTTCATATAGCACCCAGGACCACTTGCCCAGGAAAGGTACTGCCCACAGTAGGGTGGGCACTCTCATATCAATCATTAATCAAAAAAAATGCCCCACAGACATGCCTCTAGGCCAGTCTGATTGATGGTAATTCCTTAATTGAGATCCCTTCTTTCTAGGTGATTCTAGCTTGTTAAGTTGTCATAAACTAATCAGTACAGTGTCCCAAACACATTCTTATTTGATTGGTTATGAGTCTGGACAATCCTGGGCATCAGTTTTGTTTTTTCTTTTAAACTCTGGCCACATTATTCCAATGTCATTTAATGCTGAAACTTTAGCATCTAAGTAGTTAATGAAAAATTTGGGGTAAAAACGTCAGAGGACATACAAATTCAGACTCTGGTCATTTGGGCCATCCTGAACCACTTCCTGCTGCTTTGAGCAATAGTCCCCTCAGTGATCCTCTAGGTGTGGTACCTGAGTGACTCAGGGCTGGGCGCTTGAATGAATCACAGACTCTCAGTTCCCCATCCTAGACCTGCCAAATCAGAGCCTCCTGGGTGGATTTCAGCAGTTGTGTTTTTAGCAGATCTTCCAGGTGATTCCAATGCTGCCTGTCTCCACACTGATGCTGTCTGCTTCCCAAGCCACTGGAAGACTACAGGAAGCCATTTTCCATCCATCTTGAGTTAATACCTGTTTTCACCACATATTTCCCTAGTGTTGCACCACTTTCCCGCCACCTTTATGAAGACAACTAACAATCTGAAGCCAGGGTCACTTGGCTAGTCCACTCCCAGCTAATTAATCACTTTCCACTGGTTTTTATAGGAAAAGGAGAAGAATGATAACCCTTTGAATCAATAACAGGACTTCTAGGAGCTCATTCCATGGCTATACTCTAGTACCAGGGTATAGTCTTTACAGGATTGTCATAAACACAAAGCAAACTAAAGAAGAAAAAAAAAGACTGGAAATAATTGTTTCCTTTTATTATAGAGCTGATTGAATAAATTCACAGAAAGAAAAGATAGGACAGTCACACTGTTTGCCTTATTGCTTGTGGTACCACTATGTCCCTGTCAAGGGGGCTCCTCTTGAGTGCCTTACCTGCCCTGCTGACTTTCTTTTTGTACCTTTTCCCATGTGGATGCACCACATCTGACTGTCCAACTGCATAATGCCTCTTCCCAGTCATTTATGAGGACACCCAGGACAGTTTTAGATTATGCTTGCTCACTCTCTTGCTGTCTTTTCATAGCCACAGTATT